TTCTCTTCATTAAACTAGAGTCGACATATCCAGTTCCAGCAACCGTTCTTTTTGTTTTAGCCTCCAGTCCCCTAATCATTTTTGTTGCTTTTCTCTGTATTCACTTTGGACTCCTAGCAACTGCCTAGATTTTCTCTATAATGAAAGATTGATTACTGGCACCTCATTTATTTAACTTACAAGTGGAATATATAATGAGAAACATTAGAAGAATAGAAATTACAATTAAAATTACTGGGCAAAGTAGCAATCACCTCAAATGTTCTGATGACACTTTGATGAAGGAAAAACTTAAGGAACAGAACATTGTAAGTATGCTAAAGGAATGCAAAAATTGGCCTATCTGCTCCATATTCAAACAACCCTCAATACTGCGTTAAAAGGCAATGCCAATCCTATGCAAGTAGATGAAAAAGTAGAAATACCATCTGACTCTAATGTTCCTGGAATAAGTGGATAAATAATGTATTTTTCCCCCCTTGGGAATAAATTCTATGGAACTCAGACAGAAATCTCACTAAGCCATTTGTTTTAATCAAGACTTGTTATTCAGTTATCAGTTACTATTATTTATAAACATGCACTATATGACTTAGCATACATTAAACCCATTTTGCCATCCACACCCTTGTTTTTAATTTTGCTACTTGAGGTCTCCAGTTTGGTGTACTCCAGATCAGTTGGCCTATAATTTTTAGCAAGCCTGATGTTTGAGAATGGTAGAGATGGACTCACCCTCACATACAAGCAAACTCAGCCATTGATCTGCTTAAAAAAAAGTAATTAAAATTTAATATACTTTATCACATGGCAATTTACTGTCTATTTATTTTACAAACATTTCTCAGAAGCTGTTTCTTGCCATGGTTACAATTGCTTATAGCAGGGGTTCCCAACCAGGGGTGTGAGATGATATTCCAGGGGGTGCGAAAACTTGGGTTTAGAAGTTTCAAAATTATAGTGTATATGCATAAGTAGGTATTACTTTTGTAAGGGATGCGAGAATATATCAGAAGCTTTCTAGGGGTGTGGGGTATAGAAAAGGTTGGGAACTGCTGGATTATAGGTACTTGATTGGCCACAAGTTAGTAGAGCAAATGGATAATAGGACCTGCTAGGCTACATTCTTTACCTCATATCTACAAGGAATATGTTTCCAGTAACACTAAAATATTTCACTTTAGATTTCATAAGTAGTTATGAAAGAGGCTTAGAAGGGGAAACAAAACATTTTCCGTTGCTGATTTCCATTAATTGGTTTCAGTGACATTCTGTTGTTGTTCTCCATTAGAGCCCACAATAGATTTCCCCTCTAGTAAAATCCTTCCTCAATTCAGACTATACCAGGCTGTTGAGGGCATCACTTTTATAAGGATGCAAAAACAGATAGTGCTCTACAATATCATCTTGTAGCAAAGGTATGAGGTGCTGATTAAGATAAAACAGATTGGATTTACCCTAAACTACAGGTCCCAACCTTTTGGGCACCAGGTTTTCCCATGGACTGAAGGGGAGCGTGATTTTGCATGCTATCTGCACCCCACAGATGAGGCTTCGCTTGTTTGTGTGGCCCAGTTTCTGGCATGCCGTGGCCCAGTGCCGATCCATGGACTGGGATTGGGGACCCCTGCCCTAAACTATAATGTGGTTTTCTAGCTTGTGGACAATATTTTATGAACCTAAACAACTGTGGTTCATACTGTGGGTTTTCTCGCGCCCAGCGGTCTCCCATGGGTGTTGAAGAACAGACACGTACACGTGGTTTCCTCGGGATGGGAGCCTCGAACAAAGACGAAGCATCCCTTTTATTGTGTTATCAGAAGGCGGGTTTATAGGCACCTGGTGACCACCTTACACCAACCACATTTGTTATGACACAGCATATTAGCATATTACACGTGCTAACTTTGTTTTGCACACGCTACTATACAGCTGTTGCACACGGCACTAACAAACACCAAAACAACATTCCCTTGCACCGCACGGCACAAACTTGTTTTTTCACTTTTGACTTCCTCATACCTTGGCCTACTGCAGCTGATGACTCAGCCTAACAGGCCAGATAACCCAATGACTCCAACATCTCCTACTTTTCTGTTTTATTTAAAATAAGGAGGTTGCGCTTTATAGGAAGTCATCCTCAGTGTCGCTTGGCAAAGTGAAGGCTGGTTTGGTTAGCAGGGGTTGCTGAACTGCAGTGATAGGTGTAGTTACTAAATTGACCTGTTGGTGGGTGACAGTTCCTGAAGATTACAGTTTATTGCAGAAAGATGGTTCTTCAGGAAATTGCAGAGGAGAGAGAAGGGCAGAGAGAGAGAGAGAGAGCACATGGGGGGATACCCCCTCTAGCCTTGTTTGGAATAGTTTCCTGTTCCTGTGGCATGAACCTTGAGGCTGTTTCTGAGTATTTGTCTAGGCCTTGATATCTGTGGTTTAATTCTATTATCATATCCTGCTTCCCAGGTGATGGGGCTGACTCCTAGAGTTTGGGTGGGGTATGCAGATCTTCTCTTTTGTCTTCTTGATTGCTCTGGCTTCAACTTTCTGATGGTGTTACATTTGCATTTGTATGGGCCTAGCTCTTGCTTGGGGCAGAGAGATAGATTTGGGGCCAGGTTTGGTTTTAAAAAGTCCTTTTGAGGAAAAATATATTTTTCTGCCCTTTTTAATATTTCCTTCTGGGGGGGCTAACTTCCATCAATGGAGGCAGCAGAAAAAGATCCCTTTAGTGGCTCCCAAAAGGGGAGCTTGCACCCATAAAGTTCTAAAAGTCAGGGCAAAATTTTGTTAGGTGGAAAAGAAATTTATAGTATCCAATATTCTGTGCCAATCATTTTCAAATGTTGGATGTCACCTTTAGCTTCCAGTCAGGTTTGCATACCTCCCAAAATTCTTCACAGCCATGGTTTTCCTTAGTACATGACCACTGGCTGCCCAATTTCAAGGGTTGTTTCCTGCCTTAGCTCTTAATTCAGTGCATCCAGGTTTGTAATGTCCAATATGCCAGTCTATTAAATTTTCTTTAAATTGCACGTAATGAGTTCTAGGAATTCAAATCTGAGCTCAACAGTGCAAAATATTCAGGGCTGAAGTTTGGGATTTTCCCTGTTGCTTCCTTAGTCAGGGCATATGAATTGCAAATCACCTGAGGGGGCCTAGTTCCCTCCCCCTTGGAATCTGTTGGAAGTTGGTCCCACAAAGCTTTGGTGCAATAGAGCAAAAATCAGCCTGGGGGGAACTTTACTAAAGGTAGGTGGAGGGGACTCAAGTATGATTCTGAATGGTGTGTGTGTGTGTGTGTGTGCGCATATGCAGCTATTTCTACAAAACAGGCAATACAAACATTCTGGAAAAGTTTTCCCTCCCACCAGATAGAAGTCCAAGGTGTTCAGTACTTGTTCTGCCACATATTCCCATCTCTCCATTAATACATTCAACCGGCTTGTTACAATACAAATGGGGCAAGAAAGAAAAGTTTACAATGAGTTTCCACCCTCCCCCCACAGTCTTAATTTTCTCTTCTGAGGCTTCGCATGGCACCACCTTCCTTCTGCAGCTCTCACAGGCATCTGGGGAAATGGTAGGACTTGGGAAGATGCATGGTGGCTTTTCAGTGGATGGCTGGATTCAAACTCAATTCCATGGCTCAAATGGATGGAGGCAGCATCTGGGTCTGTGTGTTCTGCTTCCAAAGGCTTGGGAGAGGGTTTCAGGGCTGAAAGATACAAGAACAAGGTCTCCCCCCCCCTTTCTGGACGGACTCTACCAGGAGAGGCAGACAAAAGGTATGGAGAACAAAGGACAGAAATAGAATTGGAAGGGGGGTAGCTTGCAGGCAGTTTGAAAATGCTGAAAACTCCAAATAATTTTAAAAGCCTAAATTTTAAGGTGTGCAACTTGCCAAGGGTAGGAGAACATTTATTCTAAAATAGACCACATAGTTTTAGAGATTAGAAAATGCTTATTTGTTTCAGAAAAGTTTCATAGTAGTTTCACCAGTAAGTTTTAGGATATGAAAAGTAACTTTAAAAAGTTATTTCCCCACACAAGCAGACTTGAGTTTCAAAAGGCTCTTGTAGATAGACACACAGAGAGAAGGAGGAATACAAACAAACAAACACAATTCTTTTTCTTCACTCTGTTTGTTGGCCAGACAAACAGAGTGGGTTTTTTCCTTTTTGTGGCTTATTTTAAGCAGAATTTCTAGCAGACTTTAAAATTCTTTTTCCTTTGGATTTGAAACAGTTAACAGTCACAGTTTTACACATCCTGGTCATTCATGAAAATACTTTCCTAATTTAACCCACACAGACATTTTTAGGGATCCTCCTTCGGGCTATGCAAGGCAATTTAGATATACATATTTTAAGAGAAGGATCAAATCCCTTTTAGTGGGAAGCAGCAAATCTTTCCCATTGTTTTTCAAAACAATTATTGATGATTTGGTCAATTCCCTAAGTTCTGGGAGGTCGCAACCTGAGGCTTAGAGAATCCTGTCCCCATACTCACAGTAATGTTTTGGGAGGGTGCTTCGTCTAGCTCTGACGACCGGCCCTGAGTTGCAGTAAGCTCTTCCGCTGAGTGAGTAAGAGGGTACCAAGAGACGTAATATTTTGGGAGGGTGCTTCGTCTATCCTGACGACCGGCCCTGAGTTGCAGTACCAAGAGACGTGCTCAGAAACTTGAATCACGTCGGGGTCACCATTTGTGGGTTTTCTCGCGCCCAGCGGTCTCCCATGGGTGTTGAAGAACAGACACGTACACGTGGTTTCCTCGGGATGGGAGCCTCGAACAAAGACGAAGCATCCCTTTTATTGTGTTATCAGAAGGCGGGTTTATAGGCACCTGGTGACCACCTTACACCAATCACATTTGTTATGACACAGCATATTAGCATATTACACGTGCTAACTTTGTTTTGCACACGCTACTATACAGCTGTTGCACACGGCACTAACAAACACCAAAACAACATTCCCTTGCACCGCAAGGCACAAACTTGTTTTTTCACTTTTGACTTCCTCATACCTTGGCCTACTGCAGCTGATGACTCAGCCTAACAGGCCAGATAACCCAATGACTCCAACATCATACAATACATTATAGCTAAGCACAGCTTAATGCAATGTGTGAATCCAATTGCAGACAACCTTCATTTTATCTCTACCTCTGGAAGCTGGTTATGTTGTCCCTTTGCCAATTTCAAAGAGCTATTTAGAATTTCCTTCATACATCCAATTCTTACCACTGAACATTTAGAGAAAAAAATAAAATTGTCAAGAAAAATAAACTTTATGTAGAGCCTCTGTTCCTCAAGTTCTTGTGTTTGGCAGAAACACAAAATTAGGCAGATTATAACAGCTCTTTTGTAGTCATTGAAAAGACTTTCACTAGATGCCCACTAGAAAGGGCATCTTGATTTCACAGAAAAATCTTTTTCCTAAAAAAATGTTTGAATTGCCTAATATCAGTTCATTCCGCCAGACAGCACCTTTAAAGATTTACTTACATCCTAATAGCCTCACTCACAAATTCCCCTTCTCCAAACCATTTGACCTCTACATGGGAGATAGCAACAGGTTCTACATTTCTTTGTAGACTTTTTTTTTTTTAACCCAGTGGCCAAATTCAGCCCATTCCATCATTCCCCAAAATTCTGTTTACTTCTTAGCCAAAAACAAAACAGAGGTCAAATGTTTGCCTACTATGGCTGCAGTAAATGAAGAGACCAGAAGTATGAAACTGTAGCATTTTCCTTACCAGTGAAATACTAGAACGAGACAGGGTTCTTCCCAATTTCTGCATTTGTCTGTTGCCAGGCCTTGTGTAACATTTGTGTAACGACAAAAAGATTCCTCGTGATTTTGTGCACACATCATATAATGTTCTTGGCAACCATAAGAAAGTGATTTGCCATTATTTTCTCCCTGGATTTTTTTTTATAACATCCATGTCTAGTATGGATCCCTGTGATTCTCTGATAGTGTCCCATTCAGATGTTAACCAGACCTAATACTATTTAGTTTCCAATCCCATAACAGGGTCAATGTTGTCATCTGTTTGAAACTTCTTCTAGTGAAGCCATGGTGAAAAGCAGAACAAGAGCAACCAGTACCAAAATATGTATTGTTGCATGAATACCCTAAGCTCCTACAAGAAACGGGGTATAGACAAAGGGATAGGAAATACATAATAAAAATTAAGAAACAGGGGTTCTTTTCAGCCTCTCCAATTGTTCTTACCACTGAACATCTAATATATTTACAAAATACTCCTGGTTTTCCATCCCATTATTTTCTTCAGCAAACTTCTAAACATGGGGTCTGACTTCTAAATTACTATTTTGATTCAATCTTTGCTTGAGACTAATAGTCTTCCTGCACACTAATGGCAGGTGCCAATATAAAAGCAAAACACTGTAATTTTTTGAAAATTGACAAATCTTACTAGGTTATGTTTTATGATTTAAAATTCCATAGTATCAGACAAGAGAATAAAAATCTGTCAAAAATAATATTTCTGGTCAAAATTAAATGCTTCATTCTCAATTCTTGTTTAAGTGATGATGAACACAAAAAGGGACAAACAAATACCAGTTTGAAATTATTTGAAGTGTTAAGTACTTTTCCCCAAATAATTTGAAATTAATCTCATGAGATATGGCAAACTTTGTTAGAAACCATTTGTTGCTCTACTTTCACTACCCCAATCATGTAAAAATCAGCACAAGAAACATTTCATTCAAACCCACAAGCCATATTTTAATGAAATTCAGGAGTTCCAATGTAGAAGACAGCTTTCAGGTTTCAAATAAGCCAGATTCTAAGCCTCTTCTCCCTACTATATCAAGATATATATTGAGTAATTGAGAAAGTGGAGCTTTTAAAATACCATCTCTGTTATTAGTAACTTCAAATCTTTGGTTTGTTTAATCTTAATATTAAACACATTCAAATTCTAGAATAGGGTTGAATCTTCCTATCGCTCACAGCCAAATCCCATGTCTTTGTTTTAATGACATACGAATATTTTAGGTCAATTATAAACTGGATTCCTCATTTACAAATCAAAACTCATTTGCATAATCTTGATTCTTAATCCTACCTCAGAAAAGTAAATATGATACAGAGTATGTAATTACAATGGTAATTATAAAGAATTATTTTAATGTGAATCATTCCTATAATAAAGGAATATTGGAATGAGAATCTGAAAAAAATGTTTGACCTTGTATAAATCCAAGACAAGCTTGGTCCAAGCATAGAGAGTATTCCTGACATTGTAGGTGGACAGGAACCATTCCTCTCCTTCCAAATAGCTTCATCATTGGTAGCAAGCTTCATCTTGGATGTTGCATTTGCAGATCTTGCATCATTTTTATTAACCACAAATATCCAGCTATTACTTGGACTGTGGAAAGTGATGATTCAAGTAACTCAATACACAGTATGTAATTGTAAATCTTAAATCCCTTTAAGAGGTACCTACGCTTGCAAGTTCTCTGTTGAATCATAAACCTGTTCCCTGGTTTCCATGTTAACTCTTGAAATCACACAACCAAAGAGATTGTGCAAATCAGGTGCTTTGTACAAGAGGCATATCCATCTCTTCAGGTGGCACTTGAGGCTGGCATTGTGGACACCACCAGGTAAGTCTTTTCAACCCATCTGGTGGTCCAAATGTTGCCTTCTTTACCTCATGCCCTTTGGGGCATTTATCTTTCATGTAAATCTGTAGCCGCAATCTCTGTCTTCCCAGCTGGTTGTGGAGCCATGCCAAGCTGAACTGAACAACATGATCAAGCAAAGATTTGAGATCTGTGGATTCTAAAGAGGAGCCAAGGGACAGCGGATGAATCCTTGCTAGATACAGAGCCTCATTCTTAATGATATTTCCTGGAGGAGAGAAGAATTCAGGAGAAATTAAACATTGGAGAGCCCGTAAAGAAAGTAAAGTGAAAAAAAGTAATCCTTATGAATTAGTCTTTCCAAACTGGAGTCCGTAAAGGAATCTTGGAAAACAATTCCTATAATTCCTAACAAATTATCAGGGTGGTTGGGAATCACAGGAACTATAAATATTAAGAAAGACTGCTGTAGGTCAAGGTGAAAACTTAAAACTAGAAAACTAGAAAATTCAGGTTCAGATCTGAACTTTGTCATGAATCTTCATGGCTAATCTTGTATCGGTCATTCTGTCTAGCTTGTCCTATCTCATGGGATATCAAGTGGGTAACATAAATATGTTCTTTGTTCTCATTGTTAGTTTAGGAAGATATACAGATAGACACAATAAAAACATACATTGCTGTCAGCTATTTAGGGAACCGCAGGACAGTTAGAAAATATTTTAGGCAGTAGGCATCATGTGATTTCACACATTCTTGTTATCTTTGTTAGAGGTTTTATGAAATTATAATTCCTTTTAATTGTACCATGGTTGATTTAATTTTACAGTAAGCCACTGAGAGTTATCAGATTATAATTTATAGTTATCAGATTAATGATGATGATGATGATGATGGAAGGGTCCTTGGAGGTCATCAAGTTCAACCCCCTGCTCAGGCAGGTAACCCTATACCATTTCGGACAAATGGCTGTCCAGTCTCTTCTTAAAAACTTCCAGTGTTGGAGCATTCACCGCTTCTGGAGGCAGGTTGTTCCACTAGTTAATTGTTCTAACTGTCAGGAAGTTTCTCCTTAGATCTAGGTTGCTTCCCTCTTTGGTTAGTTTCCACCCGTTGCTTCTTGTCCTGCCTTTAGGTGCTTTGGAAAATAGCTTGTCTCCCTCTTCTTTGTGGCAGCCCCTAAGATATTGGAACACAACTATCATGTCCCCCCTCGTCCTTCTCTTTGTTAAACTAGTGAGGGAAGTTAGCCCAGAGAAGGAAATATTAAAAAGGCAGAAAAATATATTTTTCCTCAAAAGGACATTTAAAAACCAAACCTGGCCCCAAATCTATCTCTCTGCCCCAAGCAAGAGCTAGCCCCATACAAATGCAGGTGTAAAACCATCAGAGAATTGAAGGCAGAGCACTCAAGAAGACAAAGAAAAGATCTGCATGCCCCACCCTAACTCTAGGAATCATTAGCCCCATCACCTGGGAAGCAGGATATGATAATAGGATTAAACCACAGGTATCAAGGCCTAGAAAAGCACTCAGAAATAGCCTCAAGGTTCATGCCCCAGGAACAGGAAACTATTCCAAACAAGGCTAGAGAGGGTATAAAAACCTACTTCCCATGTACTCAATTTCTCTTTCTTCTCCTCTGCTCCTTCTTGCAAGGACCATCTTTCTGCTGACCATTAGGTTGTTCCACTAGTTAATTGTTCTAACTGTCAGGAAGTTTCTCCTTAGTTCTAGGTTGCTTTTCTCCTGGGTTAGTTTCCATCCGTTGCTTCTTGTCCTGCCTTCAGGAGCTTTGGAAAATAACTTGACTCCCTCTTCTTTGTGGCAGCCCCTGAGATATTGGAACACAGCTATCATGTCCCCCCTCGTCCTTCTCTTCATTAAATTAGACATACCCAATTCCAGCAACTGTTCCTCATATGTTTTAGCCTCCAGTCCCCTAATAATCTTTGTGGCTCTTCTCTGTACTCTTTCTAGAGTCTCAACATCTTTTTTACATCGTGGTGACCAAAACTGGATGCAGTATTCCAAGTGTGGCCTTGCCAAGGCATTGTAAAGTGGTATTAATACTTCACGTGATCTTGATTCTATCCCTCTGTTAATGCAGCCTAGCACTGTGTTGGCTTTTTTGGCAGTTCATTCATTATTCTGGATGTAAAACAATTTTTAAAAATGAAACATGTAATTGTCATATTTTTAAAATGGCAGAGATGTGGGTGTTACAGACCCCATTCCTTTATTGGCCTTCAATGTAATGTTTAAATAGTTGTCAAAGATCTCTTTTTAAGTCAATTCATGTGCAAAATTCCATCTTCTTTAGCAGAATAGTCTCTGCTGCCCTCCTAGATTACAACCTCTGCATATTTTGCAACAATTCCAATTATACATCCCAGATATTAAGCATGTATGTAATTTTTTTTATTATTTTGGTATCTATTTTGAACCTACCTATTCCTGAGAAATAACTTTGGTTCAGGAGCATGTAGCACACAGGAGTATCTTTTGCAAGGACCTTCAAAGCCCGCTCCCGGTCAAACTCCTGGTTCAGGATATCAATTGCTGGATCAGTGCTAGGAGAAGAGCATTGCTGAATGCGGCAGTTATAAAATACTAGAAAGCTCCCAGCATCAAAATGTAGAACCAGCCTAAATATCCAAAATGAAAACAAACAATGAATTAATTTAGAGCAGATGAGCTGAGCCTGAATTTCATGGGCCATACATGACCTTGAAAACTTGCGAGAATATCCCCAAAACCATTTTTAAATTGTAGGTTTTAATGTGACTGAAGAGGCAAAATAGTAAATGCATGATGGAGAATCTTAATTTCTTAGTAGCTTAAAATTTAACTGATTGACTAAATGCAAAGAAAATCTAGGGGTTTTTTTCCTGGCCCCAGCGTACCATTTAAAATAAAATGCACTTCTTGGCCCATTTATATGTTTCTGCTTTATAAAAAAAATATGAACCCCTGTTGGGTTGTTTCCAGAGGAACTAATCCAGCTGCGAATAGTTGATTTACAACCAGACATTTAGTGATTGTCTGATGTTATGACATACCCTCCCTCCCAAAAGCTACTTACAACCGGTTTTTTAAATTATAACATCGGCCCACATTTACAGCGATTAGCAGCACTGCTTAGTCACGTGACCATAATATGTGATGTTTTTTCTGGAAACTGGAGTTTACTTCTGATTTCCAGCAAAAGACACCCCATTGTGAATAATGGTTTGCTTAACAACCATGGCATTTGCTTAATGACCACCACAAAAAGAATTGTAAAATCAGGTCCAGTCATGTAGTAAGCCACTTTATGACCATCACGACTTATGACCATAATTACAAGGCTCAATTTCTGTCGTAACTCAAGGACTTCCTGTATAACAGTAGGGTAAAACTTCTTTTGTAAACCTCAAAGTGCTAACCTGGGAATTGGATCTTTCCAGTCGCCTCTTTTGTTTGCTTTATTCGCCCTTGCAAACTCATTGGCTCGCAGGCTTCCATAAAGACCAAAGTGGAAGCGGAGCCATTTCCAACTCTGCCCATTATTATTATCCATATCAGATGCCAACCAACTTGCTGATTCTTGTTGTTGATAGCATTCAGGAGTGCACACTTCAACTTCATTTTCTTTCTGGTCCTGGAGGAAGGAACTGCTTCCAGGCATTTCCAGTCTTTGTTCAGACAAATCCGAGGACATGTTGCCGTGGCTGGGCATTAATTTCTCTTTGGTGCCAAAAGCTAAAAACAAGTTCTTTCCATGGACCTGGAAAAAAAGTCATTTTAAAAATCTCATTCTATTTCATTTTCTCCAGGTTAGTAACCCTGGCAGTGCTCCTTCCTTTTTATACCTTCTTGTCTTTTTTTTAATATATGACTTCTGTAATGTTTAATAAAAGTACAAGGGAGAGAAACAGATGAGCCTGTTAACTTACTAACAGAAATATTTGGGCAAGTCTTTAGCTATGAAGCAGAAATTCAGGATGGGAGAGTTTACCTATTAGAGCTCCCATAAAATAGGCCCAGAATGGAATTCTTAGGATTTCTTAAACCTAAGGCCAGCAACATGGCAGCCAGAAGCAGCAGAATGTACATAGCAACCCTGCATGGCAGCCTTAGACATCCCAAAGTGTTAGTTTTTAAATTACATTTCAGAAATATCTGGCATCTTGCACAAGCAAGATGGCATTTACATATACCAACATGAGATCTTGTACACAGGTATCAAAATGTTATCACATATTTTTTTTTAATTGGGGGGATGCAGTCTCCAAAAGCTGGCCAATTGCCAAATTGCCAAAAACCATACATGAAGTGCAGGGATAATAATCAAGTCTATAATTTGCCTGGCGCAAAGAGCTATATCTTTCTCGGACTGTAATATTTTCTACTGTATAGAATAATGATGTCATATACTATATAAAATTTTACCAATGATAATGTTGGCAAAATAGCATTAATTCAAAATAAGCCAAGGTTGTTATAAAAAAAAGAGTTAAATATTTATTACACAGCAAGACTCACTTGGATATCCCACAGTGTCAGTGTTTTCAAATCATCCGGATTGATCTGTCTAGTGCTTCCTCCCACCCTGGATACCATCTTCCCTACATAGGGAGAACACAGAAACTGAAACTTCTTTACAGAGGGTCCTTCTGGCATTGCTGCAAGAGCACAAAAACTGGGGACAGCCGAGTTTGTGAGATTCCAGACAATCAAGTTCAAGGCTGAAAGAGTGTTGGGAAAAATGGTTAAAAATGCTATTCCCAGGATGGCCTCCAAGCTTTTGGCCTGAACAACAATGTCAAATATATACTAAGACTTGCAGTAAAGTGGCAGTCTCTAACATAAGAGAATATTAACCTATTTTAAAAACCTATTATGGATTTCCTTTGACTAATATAAGCCCCTTTAATTTGTACTGATCAAAATTTAAGTATGATTAAGCTTGTAATTAACCTACACAATTGTGTGATTTTTTAAAAATCTGAAACATTTCAGTGAGACCATTGGGGAGGCAGAAATGTCATTTTTTTCTGGCATTTTCTCATTAATTCTCTATTTTCTAACATATAGTAAAGTACATTCAGCCAGGAAAGACTGTTAAAGAGGGTAAAAATGAAAATACCAGAACATAATGAACAGCAAACTGTTATATTTTGGGAGTTTTCCACATTGCACATTGTTTAGATTATATTTTATGAGAAGTATAGTCTAACTCATTGTGTCTCAACCTTGGCAACTTAAGTTGTATGGACCTCACTTCTCAGAATTCCCCAGCCTGCATGTTGGAGTCCACATATCTTAATAACTAATATGCTAACCTTTAGCAGTGGCAGCCTCATCAGACCTTTTTTTTCTTACTAAGTGTACAGGTAGTCCTCAACTTATAACTGTTCATTTAGTGACCATTCAAAATTACAGCAGCACTGAAAAAAGTGACTTATGACAGTTTTTCAGTTATGATATTTACAGCATCCCTATATTTATGTTATCAAAATTCAGATGCTTGGCAACAGGTTCATACTTATGACCACTGCAGTGTGGTGAGGTCATGTGATCACTTTTTGCGACCTTCTAACCAGCAAAGTCAATGGGGAAGCCAGATTCACTTAACAAGCAGGTTACTGACTTACCAACTGCAGTGATTCACTTAACAACTGTGTCAAGAAAGTTCGTAAAATGGGGCAAAACTCAATAAATGTCTCACTTAAAAACAAATTTTGGGCTCAATTGTGATTAAGTAGAGGACTACCTGTACAAGAATGGTATCACGCTCCACCTCCAAACATGGCAAATGTCTGGGGTTTGATGTTGCTCTTAACATGTTTAACAGAAACGTGTCCAGCCCCTAATACAGACCATCCTGGGTTGCTTGTCGCCAACTATTTATAGGTATTTGCATGCTTTCGATACCATAATTTTTTATTGATCAACCAAGGGCAGATTGAAAATACAAACGGTATTCAGTTTACAGTAGATATTTGGAGCATTATAGGGGAAGACATGCGTCTGCAACAGAAATCGAAAAACATACATCTTAAACTGGAGGCTCCTGAAAGTTGTAATAAAAGAACGAAGACACTCGCGCTCACGTCTAGTCGGAAGAAAATAAAATGCAATGGTACAATCAATGATTTAAAAAAAAAAAAACAGTTATTTTCCTCTGTAAAATTTAAGTAGTGGGACCAGAAGCCACCAAAACTTCCTCGCTTCTGATCGCCTCCTGCCTTCTTTCATTTCCAAGCAGGACTTCTTGCTCCCGCTTCGTCCGTTTTCCTTCTGAAAGGAACTATCTCGGCAGACCTTTTTAGCAGAGAACCGAACGACTGCCCTCCATCGATCTCTGCGCAGCCCATCCTGCCCTGTGAAGAGTGAATTAATCGGGGCTGGGTTAGAGTCTCGGGAGGCCGCTTACGTTACGCCTTCAGGTTCTGCATTCGCTACCTTGAACTGTGAGAGAAAAAAGCGAGGAATAGGTGGAATCAGTGTAATCGTGCACCGTTTTGTGTTGTCACAACTCGCTAAAAGAGGCAAAGTGCAAATACATTTGCACAAAAAGCAAAATGTGGTTAGCATTAACTTTGGTTAGTTTTGCAGTTTGCGCGAATGTAGCCACGGTGAGAGAATAAAGTATTCTTTTTCAATAAAGAGAATATTTGTAGCTCAGGGTGGAAATAAAGAGGTCCTTGGTGCTCTCTGAGCTTGGTTGTTTTCTTGCAGACTTTTCATTACTCATATTAGGCAACATCAATTTCTGGAGAAGATCTGCTTAACTTGTACATATATTAATCTTGTATTTTATATTTTAAAATTTATGTCATATAGTATGCCTTATTTTAATTGTAGTGCTGAAAAGAAAAAACAAACCTAGTTTGGGTAATGAAACGTCTGCAGGAAAACAACCAAGCTCAGAGAGTATCATTTTTTCTTGCTTGATAACCTTTATTTTTCAAAAAATTTGGCAAATCAGGCAGAATTTCTGATTTGCAATATATTTTCTCCATAAAAAGGACAAAACTTATTTTTAAAAAATAATGCTAACTTATTTATGAGCTTGCAGAGATTTTCTTTTCTCACAGGAAGCTTTTTCTTTTTTAAGATTTCAGGATGTGTACAATGTACCCTTACTAAAGCTGCTTTAAAGAATAACACACAAGATTTGAAAGGCTCATGCTGGAGAAGGCTCTTAAGACAACCCTGGATAGCCAACAAAATAATAGGACCATCAAACAAATTTACACAAAGTTCTTATTCAGAGTCACAAATTACTAGGCTCAAATTATCCTACTTTGGACATATTATAGAAAAAGCTTTAATGCTCAGAAAGGTAGAAAAGGACAGCCCAGCAGCAAGACAGATGAACTCATTGGAAGATCTGAAGGACTAGTCATTAGGTTAAGAATAGATCAATGTCTTCTTACATTACACTCAGATTTCTTGCAGTACAAACAGTGGCAGAACTAGTTACAGCAAACCACAGGTTTCACCTCCAATACCAACCTCCTATACATTTTTATTCAGAAGCTAAATGCTTTCCGTTCTGTGGGTTACTCTGTAATAAATCAGCTTCAGATATCCCGGTAGGAATTTATTGATGCTTTGTGAACAAAACAGAGACATCAGATGACTCAAAAGTAAGAACATTTCAGGTGTGTGCAATTGACCTCATTCTTGCTAATGTCAGCTAGAAGTAGAAAACAGAGGTGCTGATTATTAACCTCACCTATTCCTAGCATGGCAAGCATTGGGGAAATGTTTACAGAAACTTGCAGTGTGTACTGGGTTTCAAAGTGAAAACAAATAAAACTGTGCATCTTACAGGTACACTTGCTCCTTCCTTCTCCAAATCAGTTCTATGCACAAGCTAGCACAAAGTAAGATAACTTTATGTAGGTGTATTGCATGTGCAAACTGGGCAATCCTGTTTGGAAAGGATTGCTGAGCTGTATGTTTTAATGAAATTTGTATGTTTATTAGATACCAATGTAATATTCAATCCTGAAAATATTGTTTAGAGCAGCGATTCTCAACCTGTGGTCGCGACCCCTTTTGGGGTCGAACGACCATTTCACAGGCATCGTGAAAGTCCTGGAGTTTTTCCTCATAGAATCCTTATGAAACGCAGTCCGGCATATATTTTTTTTGGGTTTTTTTCCCCCTTTTTCATGAACTGTGCTATTCCCTCTTATTCTATTGGCTTTCAAACACCAATAGAACAGACTCTCTTGAATAGAGTCTAATTCTATTGGCTTTCAAAAGCCAATAGGAATTGTCCAGGCTGTCTCTGCCCTGCTGAGCCCGCCAAAAGTCCCAGTCGGGAAATGTTGCTGCAAGTTGTCTGCAGCTAAGGCGAGCTTTCTGGAAGTCTCCACCCCTCCCTGCTGAGCAACTACTAAATGTAAGTAAAAGAGGGCCAGGGGTGGGAGGGCCGCCCAGGAGTGCCTGGCCTGCCTGCTGCCGCACTGAATGGGTGATATCTATGGTGAGGCTAGCGGGGCAGCGGCGGGCGCTGGGAGGGTAGCTGGCCCGGTGAGTGGCTTACCTCCCTTGGGCTGGGCCAGCTGGTGACCCAGCTGGTGGTCGGTCTGCGCCGTTGCTGCTGCTTGCCATGGCTGCCCAGGAGCGCCTGGGCCTGCCTGCTGCCGCACTGAACGGGCGGTGGCCAAGGTAAGGCTAGCGGGGTAGCGGTGGGCGCTGGGAGGGTAGCTGGCACACGTGGGGCTGACTCAGCTGGCTGTTGAGAGCCGGGTGATATGTAGCGGCCCCGCCAGTTCCCCACCAATGCCTGGATGCTGACCCAACTCCCAGCTGACTGTCGGGAGTCGGGCTGTGCTCCTGGGGGCCATGCGGACGTCGGCCGGCTGCTGGCTGTGTCCTCCCAGCTCATGGCAAGCCCAGGGACTTGAAACACGTCCCCGATGCCGCCCTGGGCTGGCTCAGCTGCGTGGGTGACCAGGCCGAGCTGGGTCTGGGCCGCCGTTGCTGCTGGCTGAGCTGAGCTGTGGCACCGAGCCGGTCCTCGCGCCTCCTGGTTGCCCAGCTGCGCTCTGCCCCTGGCTGCCCTCTATGCCATGCCTGAACTTCCCCCGCGCCACCTGGCCCACCTCCCTCACTGTCGGAGGCCGCCTCGGCCCTCTGGCGCCCAGCGCGGCCCTGGGGCTGGCGGGCAGGAGCGGCTCCTTCCCGGCTCGCCGGGCTCCGGGCCTCAGAAGCGGCCAAGCGGCAGGGAAGAGAGCAATGCCCGCATGTGCGTCAGAGACCAGCCGGACTGGCCGGGAGGGGAGAAGTGGCGCCTTCTGAGTGGGAGCTGGCACTCCGGCCACGCCCCTCTCGCATGTGACAAGTTGGGGAAGGGTTTGGCGGTTAAGGGCTGCGCAGCGTGGAAAGGGGCTCCCATGATCCCACCGCTGCGATGGCGCTCAGGAGGCTGGAGGGGCGGGCAGGTCCCGGGGGGGCAGCTGGGAGAGGACAAGAGGTGCCGGGATGAGGATGGGGGGCTCCAGACTACCATCCCCAGCAGCCCTAAAAAGCACTGTGGAAGAGTGGGGAATGCTGGGAGTTGTAGTTCATTACCATCTGGGAAAACATGACTCTCCAAAGATCCTTCCTTCCTTCCTTCCTTCCCCCTTCAATCCCCTTTTTTCTTCATCTCCTTCCTTTCCCCTTCAATCTTCCTTCCTTCCTTCAATCTCCAACTCCATCCCTTCCCCTTCAATCTCCCTCTCCTTCCTTCCTTCTTTCCTTCCCCTTCAATCTCCTTCCTTCTCCATCTCCTTCCTTTCCCCTTCAATCTTCCTTCCTTCCTTCCATCTCCATCCCTTCCCCTTCAATTTCTCTCCTTCCTTCCCCCTTCAATCTCCTTCCATCTCCATCTCCTTCCTTTCCCCTTCAATCTTCCTTCCTTCCTTCCCTCCCTCCCAACATTTTTGAGCAAGGAAGAGTAAGCTTCTCCAGCGAGCATTGCTATATTGTTTTGTAATTAATCACTATGCTTTAATTATGTTCAATTTGTAACAATGAAAATACACCCTGCATATCAGATATTTACATTACGATTCAAAACAGTAGCAAAATTACAGTTATGAAGTAGCAACAAAAACATTTTTATGGTTGGGGGTCACCACAACATGAGGAACTATATTAAGGGGTCGCAGCATTAGAAAGGTTGAGAACCACTGGTTTAGAGACAGAACTGCTCATGCTAATGTTGCTATCTTCTACTCCCTATTGCTGGGGCCTCGGTTACTACAACTCGACAATTAAAAATAGAATGTGTGTGTGCATTTGGAATAGAATAGTGCCAGAGCGTAGTATACGTGAACATTTCACAGTAAAACTATATTGATAGTTTAAAATAAAAATGTTTACATGTCCTACAAGGTTGCACTGATCCAAGATGAGCTACATCTTAGAAAGAATAGGAATTTAAGAAATGCCCTACACTGGTGGCTTCTTTCACCAGATAAAAATCAAGGATAGGCAAGCTAAGCTGATTCTAATTTTCAGAGATATCAACCTGAATCAGGAAGGTAATACTTCAGATGGGACTCACGTGACTGAAATGTCTACATTTCCTGCATGTTGGACTCTCAGTCCCTGAATGAATTAGGATTCTATGTTTAGTTTATGTTCAGATTTATAAGAGGTATGTGCGACATTCTAAACAAGTTTTGGTATACAAGCAATGCAATCTGAAAATAATCAAAATGAATACCCAAAATCTGAGTCAAGCCAGGGCTCCCATATTTAGGCATGAAGATATACACATCCACCAGATAGTAGCAAAGAGATTTTTAAGAAAACCTCAGAACTGAAGAAGCTTCTTTGAATGAGAAGTGAAACGTCTTCAAGGAAAAACAAAGTCCAGTTGCCTTTTGAAAAAGCATCTTTGGGACAACCATAACTTGGATGAGTGAGAATTTCCAAAGAGATTCAAGGAAAGTTTTAGCAAAATTCCCCATCCATAATTTTTCCATCATCCCCTTCGCTTTTAAATTTGAGATGCTTGGAATAAAATCAGGGACCTTCTACATGTAATTTATGATCTAAGTGTCATACTTTATCCAAATTCATTGATTGCTGCTCATTCTAAATCAGGGGTTCTCAACCTTGGCAACTTTAAGACTTGTGGACTTCAACTCCCAGAATTCCTCAGCCAGAGTTGAAGTCCACAAGTCTTAAAGTTGCCAAGGTTGAGAACCCCTGTTCTAAATACTTCACAACTATCACAAACGTTCTGAGGGTGAACATTACAATTTTACTGATGATTACAGACAAAGCTTTGTTTCTGTTAAACAGAACAGGAGCTTCAGAATTCAATATTTTGCAGTGGTTTGATTATTTCATTACAGGATAATGTCTTTCAACACCAATATTTAATAAAGACAATCCAAATGTGAAAACACATGAATTACTACAGTACTCTTTTTTTAATGACCTATAATCCTTTGCATCAGGGTGGAATTGGGATGACTGAATGGAGCTGAGCATTTACTGGCTGGATATCCTTTCTGACACCTACCAGTTTGCAGCATAAGATTTCTCTTTGCTCTCAAAGAGAGAAATATCTGCCACTACCTAGGATCGAACTCACAACCTCCTGATTGTGAGACGAGAACACCACCTCTAAGCTACCACATCACTTGTATATGAATAGTGCTATCATTTTTTCCAGGCATTGTGAAAATGAGAATTAGCATCTAGATTCAAAACAGCTATTAAAAATAAAAATGACTATTAAATGAATGAGATTGAGTGAAAAGAAGTGTCAATCCTACCACCGGGTCATGTTCACCCTGATCATAAGTATAAACTCTTTTAAGTGATATTTAGTACTGGCACCATGCTTAATATTAGACAGAAAGGAGACCTTCAATTCAAATTATTTGCTTACCCATTACCCCTGCCATATTCTGAAAAGGGTGCCTGCTAATCTATAGTCACTCATTCCAGCTGTGCTTAAGATTGTATATAAATCATAGAGAATCCTTCTTTCAACTGGAAAACACATAGGTAAAACACTGAGTTGGTTGCTTTGAAAGGAAAAATAGATTTATTAATAGCAAAGAAAGGGGGTTAATCAAGTTGACAGAAAAGTAATTAAATTAACACTAATGTGCTACTGGCAGTCATAAAATTGCTGGATCCACAAAATTCCTGCAAAAGTCCACCAGCCGTACTGGACTGCAGCTATGTTTGAAGACAAAACCTGTTGCTTCTGTTCTATACTTTAAAAAAACTCTGGAGTCTTCAGTTCACCAGTGATTGCAGAATTTGCAGCACCTCCATTTTCTTCTAGATTCTTGTGGGTCACTGTCCTTGAATATTCATTTGAGTTTCTTACTATCAATAATAAACTTTGGTCAGTAGTGTCTTTGGGAAGAATATTTTTTATAATCAAAATGGAAAATAGAGAACCAAAATCCAAGTTTTTGCCAGCAATTAGCCTATTTTCCATTCTTCTCTGCATATGCTGCTGGTTCTTCTCTTCTGACTTTGAATTAGCAATGAAATGGGTAGCTATCACATCCCAGGTCAGGAAATCAGATCTTTCATAAAGGCCACCAGCCACTGATCCCCATAATGCAAAATTTAGGGATATTGCTGGCTTATATATTGGTTTTTGTTTTATTTTTTTTTTATCTTTTTTTAACCTCCATTCTATTTTTATGGGCTGGCTTATACATTCCTTCATTTTTCAAAAGATGTCTGAAGACAACATGTGGAAAGCTGCAGTTACAAATTTCCATTCAAGCTCATACATACCCTTCACATATACACACACACATTTACAAATATACTACTTGATATTACATTTCTGTATATCAGTTATGTATAAACATGTAATGTTGATGTCCAAGTTTTCTGGAGGATTTATTAAAAATAGAACTTGGCAGTTTTGATTGAACAGGCCAAAGCAATTTGAAATGGTTCTTCTAAGACCAGAACTAGACAAAACAAAAGATGGGAGAAAGAAACAAGAAAAAAAAAAAAGAACAAATAGTATTGCTTGACAGTTGCCCATCGCCTTTGAGTCCCAAGCTTGGTAACTCCCTTAGAAGGGGGTGAAGAGGCAGAAGATTGTTAAGCTGTGATGATGTCTCCATGTGTTTCCCCTAAGACTAGGCTGTTCCAGGAATCTTGCTTGGAACTAGGCTGGGGAGACTGGTTGATGGTTCCTTGGTAAGCCTGTGGGGAAAGCTTGAGAGTAGACATAGTGGAGTGAAGAACAGGTCCATGGCCAGACATTGCCGCAACAGAGAATGTCTAGTGGGCAGAAGGAAAAGAGGAAAAAACACATAAATAATGGGGAAGGGAAAGGGGGAAAAATGCTATTTTATCATTTGCCTGTAGCAGACTCTTAAAAACTGAACCATGAGATGGGTGGCAAGTACATTTGATAAATAAATAAACAAAAACTGGTATCTTTCAGGATATATTGTGGCTACAATTTTACTACATTGGAGAACTGAATTAAAAAAACAACACACCAGAAATTTGTATTATTTTGTTTTGAAATCTCTGAAATTTTGGGTAAGATATATAGCTGAAATATGGAGTAGGCAGCAAACCAAACTTCATAGCAGGGATACCTGGGCAGTTCCAGGCTAATAGCATAGAATAACTGGAAGAGTGGCTCTTTAATCCATTCTCCAGATTGTTGGATGAATGGACTAGAGCACAGGTGGGCAACCTGCGGCTCCGGAGCCGCATGCGGCTCTTTGAGCCTTCCCCTGTGGCTCCCAGCCTCCTCTGCCTTTGCAGAGAGAGGCAATTGCACTTCCCTGCTTCTCTCTCTCTCTCTCTCTCTCTCTGTGTGTGTGTGTGTGTGTGTGTGTGTGTGTGTGTGTGTAAAAGAGAGTGCACTCACAGTGTTCTCCGAGGAGCTGAAAAGCTTTCTGGGCGGAGCTCCTCCCTTTGCTGCGTCTCTGAAGGAAGCAGGAAGCAGGAAGGGCAGGAGAGAGCTAGCTAGCCCAGCTAGGCTGACTCAGGAATTCTGGGAGTTGAAGTCCATGAGTCATAAAAGAGACAGGTTGCCTACCCTGGAGGTTGTTGGACAACAGCTTGAAGCTTGCCAGGTGAGCAGCAGATAGGGGGGGGGGAGAAGAGAGAGAGAGAGAGAGAGAGAGAGTGGGGGAAGAGGAGTGGCAGATCAAGGGCAGATAGAGAGGGAGGGAGAGAGAGAGACCCTTTTGACATCTAAAATGAAGATAACACTGCATATATCCTTTTTTTACCTTTGTGTGTATGTAATTTTATTCTCTTAAAGCATTCTCTTGGTGATCATTGTTTTAATAGTATGGATATTCCCAAGAGTCATATTTTTACTTTTATTTTTAATGTGTATATGTGTGTGTGTGTGTGTGTGTGTACACACACACACACATATACACATACACACACACACACACATACACATACACACACCTATAATAAAGGTAAAAAAAGATATATATGCAGTGTTATCTTCATTTTAGATATCAAAAGGGTTTTGCGGCTCCCAGTGTTTTGTTTTTGGTGGGAAACGGGTCCAAGTGGCTCTTTGAGTGTTTTGGGTTGCCTACCCCTGGACTAGAGTAAGGGTCCCCAACCCCGGCCCACAGCCAGTTCAGAGCCAGGCCACACAAGCTGCAGGCGAGAATGTGCGTGCAGTGAGTGGCGAGCACTTCTGTGCAAAGCTCCATCTGAGCAAGTGGCAGGCAGAGATGCCTGCTACTTGTGCAAATTGAATTGTGCACGCTCATGTGTGCACCTGCTGCTTGCACAGAACCATCCCCTCTCACTCTCCCTTGCTGGTCCACCAAGCCGGAAAGGTTGGGGACCACTGGACTAAAGTAAAAGCTTTTTAGAGTGATGGGTACCACTCACTTTTGTACAGGTGGACTGGGTGGATAAGAAGTCTGGGTTTAATGAGATACTGAGGTGACTGGATTTTGGTTTTTAAAGTTATAAATAAGGTTTCCCCCCCCCCCTATTTTGTTTGTTTGTTAATTTGATTTTTTTATGTGGCTCTGTTTCTTCCATTTCCCTTCAAAATGGTCACAATATAAGCCTTAGGACCAAACTATTACATACACTTATACAGTTTGCCCTAAATTATTAAATTATCAAAAGGGTATATTTTGCAATTTCATTGCAGGTGTGTTTGTGATCTATGGTTAATTCTGCCTTCTTTGTAGCAGCCTCCACCCTGCTAAAAAAAGTTGCCACTGGAACTGAAGCCTTACAATTTAAGAGGCTAAAAATGTACTTGTTTATTGAGGTCTTTTAACAGTTTCAACTGTCCCACTTCTTTTACCTATTGTAAAATGTGATAATTGTCTAAACATTATCTAACTAAATCTAAAGTAATGATACTTTTAGATTTATCTTAATTATATTTCTATTGTTGCAGCTGTATTTCTGTAACAGTCTTGAGCCATCAGCAGCATACAAATAGTTTAAATAAATTTAAAATTCAGTAAACTTTCAGAATTCCCAGCCACACTGCCATTCAATTGAGGATAGCTGTTTTAGAATCTTTCTTTCTACTCCACTCAGCTTACCAAACATGATACAATGGGACAACACTCCCCCTGCCAGCCCAGCAACCTATGGATACGGATAATACCGTAGGAATTATGATCTGCCACATATGGAAGACAGTCAGTTCAGAATGGAGAAGGCTGCCATGGTGGTTACCTGAATTCCCTTAAGTGTTAGAAGCAGAATAACAGAATAACAGAGTTGGGAGGGATGTTGGAGGTTTTCTAGCTAATAACCTGCTCAAGCAGAAAACCCTATACTATTTCAGACAAATGGTTGTCCAATCTCTCCTCAAAAGACTCCAGGGTTGGAGCACCCATTACCTCTGGAGGCAAATCGTTTCACTGATTAATTGTTCTAATTGTCTGGAAATTTCTCCTTAGTTCTTGTTGTTCTGCCTTCAGGTTCTTTGGAGCATAGGCTGATCTATTGTGGCAGCTCCATAGATATTGGAACATTGCTATCATGTCACCCAAGCTTATTAGAATTGCCCAGGTTCAAGTTCAAGTCCACCCTTAACCTGGAAACTCACTTTGGATCTGCCACTCAATCTTAGAAGGGTGTTGATGTGGATAGAATTAAGGTAAGATGTGCTATATATGCTATCTTTTGCTTCTGGATAAAAGATGGAATATAAATCAATTAATAAAACAACTGAAGAGTTTCTTGCCCCAAGTTTAACCCCAAGAAGGCACAAGAGGGCTTTTGAAATGGCCAATGCCCATTACTCCTGGATATCATGAGGATGTATATAAATCATATAGTCACAGTATTCTCCATTAGAGAGAAATGTCTTATATCTGCAAAGATCCAGAATATGAAAAGTTACTTTAATGTTAAAGGACTCTAATTATGCAACCTTTGCTTTACAAGCTTATAGTATGCAGGTGGGTGCAGGAGTTTTATTAACAAGCGTGCCATGGAATGCTGAAGCTTTAACTCAATTCTGTTCTGTTAAATTCAGTACAGGATTGTTAAGAAATTAAAATAAGGAGAAAGCCATGTGTGTCTGACTTTCAACTCCTTGATAGAAAGGCAGAATACAAATATAGACTCAACAAGCAACGAGAAAATGTGACTATTCTTTTGCATAATAAAAAGCTTCACCTGAGGAATAGGGCTTGGGTGTCCATAATGAGATGAGATCCCTGGTTCTGTCTTGATGGGGCGCATTTCTTCAGCAGTAGTAGTGGTAGTTGTGCTGGTGCAGGTGGCTGAACTAATGGCAGTGGGAAGGCTTTCATTGGTGGCTGATCCTAGGGTGGGAGGTGAAAAAGAGAGAGAGATAAATTGTTGAACTATATCTGTCCTGAGACTTTAGCCAAAAATTAAAGTATTGGCTACTGTTGCTGCTATAATAAGAGTGAACGTTAAATAAAAAAAAGGCCAAATGGATCTTCATCAGGAAGGTTTTTCAGAGAAAAACACAAGAACCTTGCTGTAGCATGCCAGAATGTATTGACATTAAACTCCTAGGTAATTACATGAGTTGATGCCCAGGTACTTGCAGGATCCCCTTCTCCTCTCTGAATTGGCCTATGCAATGCACTCTTGGAGAATTCACCTTAGAATTCAGGCTAGATTCTTTCTAAGGTTCATTCAAGGTAGAATTATTCCAAAGAACACTTGATTAAATACTTGGTTCTCATCAACTTTATTTCACTTTGGATTACTTATATGTATTTGATTATACATAGATGTTTTGTTGATTGTTCTCTTAAATTGTCACAAAGTCTATTTTGAATTGGTGGTACCCAAGGGGAATGAATGAAAGAATGAATAGTGATGTGTTTTATTTGAAGGACCACAGAATGCTCATATTTGACTATGGTATATAATAATACTTTTTCCAACTTTGGCAGACGTTATGCTTAAGTTGAAATTACAAATGGATCATATTAGCTAAGAAAGTTTTTTCTAATTGTACTCGCCTGCTGATGTCTTGGATTTGCTCAAGTTCTTTGGTTTACGCTTCCTGGTTTGGATCCCTTCTTTTCTCATAGCTAAAGGTCTTGGAACCTATGAAGATGTATAGAGATCAACATTAATCCCCTAGAAAAACCTGCAGTTTTTGAATGTACAAAATCCTGGGAGTAGCTCATTGTTTTCTTAACTGTGATTTGTGTTGTGCTTCCACATGTTGACACAACAAATGCAAAAAGCTTGTGTGCTGTCCAAAAGATTTTCTTAAAGACAGTTTGCAAAAATACACCAAATTGGCAAACTGTATTTTTATTACCTTGTAACAGGCAAGTCAGATTCATAATGTGAGGTATGCAATGTACTCATGTGTATTATAAAGAAATCTCTTTCAGGCTAAAAATAGAAGTATATTTTTGGTTATTGTTGTTCATGGGCTGCCAAAAACTTATAGTCCACCTTTACTGATTCAAATACAAATTTAAAACATTTTTTTTAAGAAGTATTTCTTTTGGAATTGTTTTGCAGGTTGGAAAATAATGGTTAGCATAATCTACTTCTTCATCTATTTTTGCAGCATGCAAAAGTTGATTTCACATCTGCCAGCCCATATTGGACCAGCATGGCAGATTATGTTCCATTCCTTCCACATTCAAATACAACCTCAAAAATGGCCCTCATTCCCCGGAGGTCCTAGGGCAATTGCCCATGACAGCGAGAAGACCTGCCCAAAGGCAGAGGGTGCTAAAAAAATATCGGTTAACTCAGGTTATCTTTGGACTTTGGAGATAGGAACAGTCAACATCTGAACAATAAAAATGGACGCTTGACTAGAAGAACTGCTGATTGAACTCAACAATATGCATTGAGGTATTATTAGATTATATGAAACAAGATAAAAAGGTGAAAATTTAGTTGAATTTGATAGGACTGGGCATTTATTCTACACTAGAGGTACAGAAAATGGATGATGTGGTTTTTCTCATCAACCAAAAGCTAAAAGACTGTAGTAGTAGTGGTGGTAAAATTTGAAAGTATATCAGACAGAGTAGCCCAATGCATCATTCAGTTGAACAAACAATACAAGCTTTCAATCATCCAAGCTTATGCGCCAACAATAAGCTATAGTGATGATGAGGTCGAAGAATTTTATGACGATGTGACCCACCTTCAAGACAAAGAAAAATGCCAATGCAAAATACTAATGGGTGACTTTAATGCAAGAATAGGAAAAACAATATCTGGAGAAAAAGCAACTGATCCATATGGAAGTGGTGAACAAGATAATAGAGGTGACAGTTCAGTAGATTTTGCTGAAAGATAGGAACTTTACATCATGAACTCCTTTTACAAGAAAAAAGCTAGCAGGGCTTCTGGTGGCGCTGCGTTGCCGATGGCAGCTACTTTGTAGCCGTCCATCTGAGACAGCGTTAAAACCGCCGAGGACAGCAGACATCAGCTGTTCCGTGGTTTGAAACTTATTTCCCGGGCAAAAGGAAAGAGGTGAGTTTTTTTACCCTGGATAGTGGTAGAGCCTCTGAAACCCCAAAGTGATTTTTTTGGGGTGAAGGGCGAGCTCCCACGGAGTCCAGGGTTTTCTCCGCTTCTCGGATGCCTTTGTCCCTTGTTGTTTTGGGACAAAGCAAGACGCCGCTCCCACATCCGCAATTAAAGTAAACTGGTGAGTTGATTTTGAAGCGGACAGAGCTGATCAGTGGATTGTATTTTTATGTTTTATTTGGACTTTAACTCCACAGAATTATACTCTTTTTTTTTTCTTATAGTGAGGGAAAGTAAAATGGCGATGAGAGGTTTCTCTCTTTTTTTTTTTAAGTGCGCACAAGGAAAGTAAAAGGACTTTTGTTACTTTATTTTTTCAGAAACTTTTGGGACTTTGGGTGTTTGTAAGAGGAGGAATTTTTCTTCTTCTTACGGATAGAAAAGGGGTTTTTTCTTTTTTCTTTTTGTTTCTTTTTTTGGTCTTTCGGATTTTTTTTAAGAAGGAGAAAATTTTTTTTTAAAATGGCTTTGAAGCGTCAAGCGATCTCTGCTGTGCCTAAGGTGGTTTCTTCTCCGGCAATATTACCAGCTCAACAACCTAAACCTAGATCACCACCACCCTCCCCATCTGTACCACCACTCACGGTAAAAGATATTCAAGATGTTATGGGAAACGTTGTATGTCAAATTAGAGAAGAAATGAAGGAGCTTTTAGAAGAGAGAAACAAAATCTTGAGGGAGGACATAGTACTGGCTTTGAAAGGACTTGCTTCTGTTGTTGAAAAGTTGGATTCTCGTATTGAGGATGTTGCAGATAAAGTGGACTTATTGGAAGATAGGGTTGAAAGTGTTGAAAAAATGGTGGAAACTTCACAGGATGAAATTATTATGTCTCAGTACAGAGAGATGGAGTTCACTTTAAGAATCAGGAGCTTGAGGGAAAACATGCAAGAAAACCTGAGAGAGATGGTGGCAAATGATATTGCTGTGATTTTGGAGAGGGATCCAGAGGAAATATTTAGAGAAATAGAAAAAATGTTTAGAGTCAATTCGTGGATCGCAAAGCAGAGAAATTTGCCAAGAGATGTGGTGATTTATTTTGGAAAAAGATCTTTACGTAATGAAATTATACAAGCATTTTACAACAAGAGATTCCAGATTGCTGCTCAGGATGTTATAATTTTAAAGGAGATTCCATCCAAAATTTTAAGAAGAAGAAAGGACTTTGCTTTTTTATCAGATGAACTTAAAAAGCGACAGATGCCATTCAGATGGGATATCCCAATTGGAATTGTGGTGAGTCACGCGGGGACACGTTATAGACTTAATACTGTTTCTAAGGTAAGAGACTTTTATATTTTGGTCCTGGGAGCGCGTTCATCACCACCTTTAATGTTCAAAGCTCTGGAAGTGAAGGAGGGAGAGCAGTTGGCTGAAGATGCTGTATCAATGAAAGCTGGAAAATTACAGGCTGAGTTGTTACAGCAGTCTGTTGAGATGAAAGAACAGAGAATGACCTGAGCAGCTCATAGACGAAAAGAAAAGGAGCAGCAGAAGAAGGAAATCAAAGTTACACAAGAATCTGCTTCTGAGCCTGTGGGAGGAGCAAGACCTAAGAGATCTTCATTGGTCCAATCTTCGATGGTAGATCTTCAAGCAGTCTTCTCCAGGCCAATAGATGGAGGAGATGGCAAAGCTCCTGACCTGGAATGTTAATGGCCTCAATTCTCCAGAAAAGGAAGAAAATATTTCATTATTTGAAGCAACATAATAATGATATTGTTTGTTTGCAGGAAACCCATATTATTTTAAAGGATCAAAAATATTTGATTAATGCTCGATTGGGTTCTCATTTTGTATCTTCTGCCCCTAGGAAAAAAGGGGGTGTTGTCATTTATGTTAAGAAAAATTTGTCAGCTGTATTGATAGATTCTGATCCTCAAGGGAGATATGTTATGATTGAAGTGGGAATGTATGGCAAGAAACTGCTTATAGTGGGTTTGTATGCTCCTAACCAACAACAAGAACAGTTTTATAGATTTTTACATCAAAAATTGATTTCATTGGATTATAGATCTGTTATTTTGATGGGGGATTGGAATGGAGTTTTGGATACACATAGAGATAAGAAAGGACTTTCTACTTCTTTCAAGCAAGCTAAACTACCTAAGGCTTTTTTTGATTTGAAAGATGATTTGGAATTGAGAGATATTTGGCGGGAACGTAATATGGAAGAGAGAGACTTCACTTTCTTTTCTGACAGACACCAATTGTTTTCAAGAATTGATTTTTTTTTTACTACAACGGATTTATATTTCAGGGTAAAAAATGTAAAGATTTTTCCAAGGACATTGACAGATCATAGTCCTGTATGGATGGAATTGGTTGCTGAGAAAGAGGAGAGAAGATCTTGGAGGTTGAATGAAAATTTATTTAGACAAGAGGCGAATGTTCAGAAACTTAGAGAGTATTTAAAGGAATATTTTATATTAAATATGCATAAGGGAACCTCAATGGCATTGGTTTGGGATGCTAGTAAGGCTTATATGCGTGGGGTTCTGATTCAAATGAATAAGGCTTATAGGCAAAAACAGATGCAAAAATGTAAAGAATTGGAAGATGAGATTAAAAGAAAAGAAAAAGCATTAATTTTGAATCCTTCGGATAAGAATGTAAAGGCTTCTATAAATTTGCTTAAAACACAGTTTAATATGTTAATGGCTGATCAGGCTGCAACTAATTTACTTTATATGAAACATAATACATTTTGTAATGCAAATAAGCCAGGTAGGTGGTTGGCTTATCAATTAAGGAAGAAACAGAGGTTGAGAATTATAGATAAAATAAATTATAATGGTAAAGTGGTTTTTCAGAAAGAATTGATTAGAAAATCTTTTTTAGATTTTTATACAAAATTATATATGGGTAAAAAGGTACAGAGTTCAGATATAGATAAATATTTACAAGATGCTCATTTTCCTAAGTTATCAAATGATCAAAGAGATGAGATCAATGGATTGATTACTTCACAGGAAAGTATTATGGCAATTAAACAATTAAAAGCTGGTAAAGCACCTGGCACCGATGGATTGACATCAATTTATTATAAGACTTTAAGTGAGGAGATGATAGAGCCCTTAAGGGAACTTTTTAATAATATATTATTGGGCTTAGAGACTCTCCCATCTTGGGGAAGGGCTTTTATATCTCTGATTCCAAAAGAGGATCAAGATCTTACTTTACCTAAAAATTATAGATCTATATCTCTTCTGAATGTAGATTATAAAATTTTTTCAAAAATTCTAGCTAATAGACTTATGATAGTATTGAATCAAGTGATACACACTGATCAAACAGGTTTTATAACTGGGAGATATATGAAGAATAATGTTAGACAAATTATTAATTTAATAGAATATTTGGATAAAAACAATCAGATTTCTGCAGGATTGATTTTTTTAGATGCTGAGAAAGCCTTTGATCAGTTAAATTGGCAATTTATGTTAAGGTTGGTTGAAGAGATGGATTTTGGAGATAAAATTTTGCAAGCTCTGTGAGGCATTTATCAAAAACAATCGGCACAACTTATAATTAATGGA